GAATGGAGAACAGGTTTTTCCAAGCTTCTGTGCTACTTCTTATGCAAGAGAAAAATGAAGCAAAGTGACTGTTAATGTACACATATATTGAGTCATCCAAGAATAAATTATGAAGCCTGAAAACAGATGCTGGTGCTCTAATGATACAAAGAAAGATGCTTTGTATACACTACTGTGTATTAGAAAGCATCACTTTTGAAGATTTTGCACAACTTTACTAATATACCCAGAAGCATTGGAAATCTCCCTCTTAGTGTATGTACATGGGTATGTGTGACCAACTAAGTGAAAGTGTAAGTGCAAAAACTATAATTAAAAAAATTGGGGGGGGGTAAATTTATTAAGAGCTGCTAGCACCAATACTACAAATTCTCTATCTGTCTCAGAATGAGGCAGATATAATAAGAATAGCCTTGCTGTAGGATCCAATCTGAGTTGGTCACTAGGACCAAAGATTTGTTCTTCCAAGCTTTCAGACTCTTGCTGGAGCCCACCGTCAGGGAACCTCTCAGTCGCCAGGATGTTCTGTTCTATGCATAATATTTATGTGGTGTCTGGTTGTATGTGACTTTGAATTGTTGATTGGGGTGTTGATAGCTGGCTATTAAATCATAGATTGTTGATTCCTTGTGCTGCCATGTCCTTGGCTCCTAAGTACCTGGTAAGCCAGCAATAAATCAGCATTCCTGTTGAGTGGCAAGGGTACTATTTCTCAGGCTTCAATTAATTTTCCATATGTTTTTGTCCCTGCTCAGCCAACAATTTTAGTAGCTGCAAAATTGAATGCATGTCATTGTTCATTGCAGGTTACTAATGAGGTTGAGTGTCCTCTTCTAATAGCTCTCTCATGTTCTTTAATTTGGTGGTTAACTTCCACCCTAGCTGTCCTACATAATCATAAGGGCAATCCATGCAGGGAATCCAGTAAATTTCTCCCACTTCCAACCAATCTTTGTGCTGCATGATTTTTTTCTCCTATGGTAGCCTCTGGGTGGTGGGCAATACCTGCTTTCAGATCTTAGAAACTGTATTCTACTGCTTCTGAAATCTTTTTGATATATGTCTTCAAATGTCCAATTTTAAATCTGTTATTATCGATCTAAACAGATACATATTCAGAATCCTATTTTATTTTAGCTTTCCTTCAATTCCTTGACCTACTGATGAAAATTGGCTTAATGATAATTATAATTCAGTACATCTGGCTGGTTCCAGTTTGGAAATGGTTGTTTCACAGGATCCCAACAACTCTTGGTGTGTGAATTCCAATTTGGAGCAATTGGAGGTGCTTTGAAAATATGATAGAATAGATTTAATTTTAATTCATTCTTGGCTTTGGTTAGATAATTACTAGGCTATTAGTTCCTTGAGTAGGGATAAAGCAGTTACCTAGTACTTGACATCTGATGCCCATACTTTCTGAGACAAGGCTGTATAAAGAATTGTCTCTTATTGCTTAAAATACTCCAATGAAAAGCTGTTTTTCAGAAAGCTTATGCCACCTGCTGCAGCTTTTATTTTAACACATTGGAACATTTTGCTAGGGGCAGCAAATGGAACATTAAGTACCATGCATGATGTATTGGTTTAAAAGCCCCCATTAATGTGTCAAAAGTGCAGGAAATGATTTCACACATATGGCTGACATACTGTATCTAGAAACCTTCTGCTTATTCAGTGTCTTGGAAGCCCCAAAGTCTATGTGCTTGTGTTAGTATTCTACATCTATGTAAGTGGAAACCCTGGTCTTTAGATGTTGAATAGAGAATTGAAAATGCCATGGTTAACTTACCATGGTTAACTTTAGTTGAGGTGAGTTCTCAACTAAAATGAAGCAAATTGTTCATTAGCAAATATGTCCTCTGAATGCACTGAGACTCTTTTTCTGAGCAAACATTGTTCTGAGCAAACTATCCATCCATGAAATCAATTCCATGATATGTCTCAAGTACAGAATCACCTGTTGATAAAACATTTGAATTCCTCTATCCCTTCTGCCCATTTACTGAAATATATCATGTACTGATTTTTTAATTCTAGCAAGCCTGATTTTTTAGATGACCAGACACTCCAGCCGATGTGTTTAGCCTATAGGTTTCCAAATTCCTTGAACTAACCTCTATAACTTTATAGAGATTGGGGAAGATTGGCCTATACCAGGGGTGTGAAACTCAAGGCCCCGGGGGCCAGATCTGGCCTGCGGGGTGCTTAGATCTAGTCCATGGGGCTGTCCTGGAAAGGACTGGCTCTGCCAGCGAAAATGGAGCTTGGGAGGGTTGTGTGAGGCCCTCCTGAGCTCTGTTTTCACTGGCAGAGGGTTGCAGGAGGCTATCACAGTCGAAAATGGAGCTTACAAGGGCTGCAGGCTGCATACCCCAGCTCTGTTTTTGCTGGCCTAGGAAGGAGCTTGGGAGCCCATTTTTTCTGCCAGAGCACTCAGGCCATCACAGGCTCCCCCGATATGAGTGACGTTGAGCTGGCCATGCCCACCCTGGCCATGCCATCCTGTCTCCCCAAAGTCAAACACAACCTTGACCCGGCCCTCAATGAAATTGAGTTTGACACTCCTGTCTTACACTATAAGCAGCTGGTCATTAAATTACTTCTGTCATTGATTACAGTGTCCCTTACATAGGTATGAGGAAAACTATTTGTTCAACTGTTCTCATCCCCCCCCCCCCATTCTATCAACATTGACTCCATATTTAAGATTCCTAAGACATATCTACCTTGTTTTCTGATAAAAATCCCCAACTGTTGTTATTTTTTGTTGGTAGCTGGCTTTTGTTTATTACCACATATGTTCCATTTGGTGGATTTAGTTCTTTATAAAAAATCACCTTGTTCTCTGACCATCTATAGTCCCGAAAACATAGTCTTCCTTTTATTGAATATAACCTTCCTTTTATTGAAAACTTATGCCTTGCATATGTAAAAATTCATTCCTGAAATTATTCACAAACCCAGCAAGCAGTCCTCTGAATCCCATAGAGGTTTGCAAAACTGGTTCAGTATTATTTGTGCTGTGTCTATGCATTCTGTTAATCAGTGATGTTTCATAGAGGGAATAATATTTTATCATTATCCATAACGAAGAAAATTGCTTGTTTGCCTAAGGAAACAATCTAAAAACTTGCTCTAGACCCTGATTTTCTCTGGGCAAAGTTGCTGTGGTTTGACAATGCTCCAGCTTTGTGATTGGAAGATTGTTTGTGAATAGTGAAAGCAGTATCAGAGTCACTCCAGATTTTGCCTTAAGTATGTTAATGGAGTCATGACCCACATTTTGAGATTCCTTAGTGTATTTCATTAGGGACCTTAGCAGAAAACTGGTGGAGGAATTGCTGTGAATATTGAATAAAGAACTAATAGCATAGTTCTTTATTCAAGGAGTAACTATGAATGAATAGTAAAAGGGAATAGGGAAAAAAAAACAATTCTTCACCAGAGCTTTGTTTCTTGTTTTAATCTTTTTAATATATTACTAGGTGAAAATAAATACATATGAATCAATTCCTCATTTGATAATCCTTAAACATTGGAATGTTTGAAAAGCAAGCTACGCTTGAAACAGAATTGGACGAATCTTCTCTATGAGAAAGCTATTTGAGTAAAAGAACATTCTTATCTAAAACATAAAGAAATAATCCCAATGTATCAGAACTTTTGTAATGGAGCATGTTGTAGATCACATCTGTTATTGAACATAATGTTGCCGGTGAGTTCGGGTTTTATAGCTTCCAGTAATAGCAGATAATTGTGATAAATGATTCATATCAACTACAAGCGACACTTTTTAAAATTTCCATATCTGGCAATCATAAAGCATTTATGAATGCTTCAATAGACCTCCATGATCGAAAACAGCTTTATGATTAATTTCATCTCAGTGTGGTAATTAGCAGGGTTTGAAGCAATTCCTGGAAAAGAGGCTGATAGAGGCGGAAGATTAACCCACAAACTTTTTTTCCCAGAACAAAGGACAATGTACATATACCCAATAATGCACAAGTTTCTTCTGGAAACTACTAGGCTTTTTATGACCTGAGATGAAAGAAAAGGATCTTACAAAAATAGCACATGAGTCCTAAAGAGCAGAAATCAGAGCAGTTTGGTGGGATAATACACATCTAAATGAAAGCTGGCCTTGAAAAATGCTAGAAAGTGTTTTGTCTGAAATAGCTTTCATTGCCTTTTATTCTAGTTACTACAGAAGGGCAAAAATGCAAATACTTCAAAGTAAAGTTTTTAGGGAGAGTCAGTTTGATCTAGTGGTCAAGTCATCAAGCTAAAAACCAGGAGACTGTGAGTTCTAGGCATGAAAGCTGGCTAGGTGCAGAGGTGGTATTCAGCAGGTTCTGACCAGTTCTGGAGAACCAATAGCGAAAAGTTTGAGTAGTTTGGAAAATTGGTAAATACCATCTCTGACTGGCCCTGCCCCCATCTATTCTCTGCCTCCCAAGTCCTAGCTGATTGAGAGGAAATGGGGATTTTACAGTATCCTTCCCCTGAAGTGGCATGGGAATAGAGATTTTAGAGTATCCTTCCCCTGCTACGCCCACAATCCACGCCTACCACTCTTTCCCCTGCCACGCCCACCAAGCCATGCCCACAGAACCAGTAGTAAAAAAAAAATGAATCCCACCATTGGCTAGGTGACCTTGGGCCAGTACATCTCCCTCAACACAACCCACCTCACATGACAATATGAGGAAGAAAGAGTATTAGGTATGTTCAATGCCTTGGGTTATTTATAAAAATAATAAAGCCAGGATAAATAAATGAATAAATTATCTCATATCCCAGGGTTGCATTCTGGCATTCAAATTAGAACACCCATCATTTAGAAAGCTTAGGGTGCAGCTCCCTTGAGAAATACATTTTTATCTTTTGTGATGATGAAATAAATGGTTAGCTTGTGGTGCATATGTGAGAGCCTTTAGCAGTGCTACAGTAACTGCTAATAAGTAACAGTACAATTTTATAATATATTCTTACAGACACAAAAGAAGTCGTTTCCACCAAAGACCTGAAAAGTGAGTCTTATTTTTCTATTTATGTTCTTACCCTTGTTTATTTTATTATCACCCTTATTAGTGTTTGCTTTGATACATCCAATTATGCGTATTGAAGTATATCATTTTATACATTCTTTTTTTGGGTGAAAGGTGTCTTGTACTCAATAGGATTTACATCTGGGTAGATCTGCAGAGAATTGTGCTGTAAAATTGTATGAAAATGCAAATATGGATAGAATGACAGCATTTATAATTTTAAAGTGACATGTTTAGACTTAGCAGTTTCTTCTATTCTGAATCAATTTACACTGCATTTTCAGTTCCCCATTCCCATTTGTGACTGACAGTTATTTCTTCCCTTCTCCATTTTCTTTTTTTTTTTAAATTACATCTTGAAAAAGCAGATAGGGATTGAAATGTCAACTGTGATCTCAGCTGAGTATTTCTTAGTGGCCATGAGCTAGATAGAAGAGTTCATGTATCTGGTTTCCCATATAATAAGATCTGAAGACTCTTAGTCCTTGAATAATGAATACAAGTCCCTGGAAGGAAAAATGGAACTCATCATTGACGTTTCTGTTTCTGGGAAAGTGATGCAGGAAACAAAGAATCCTGCATTATTTAACCAGGTAAAATGTGGCCTAAAATTGCCCCATGCCACCTTATAAAATGAAAGCTAAAGAGATTTCAGCTGTGTGTAGGAAGTCCTTGGACCTATGACTACAACTGGGTCATAATTTCCATAATTTCCATCCTAAACGAGGCAGTTGTTAGGTGAGTTTCATCTCATTTGACAACCTTTTTTTAACCATGGTTGTTAAGTGAATCGGTCATTAAACATTAGTCTGGCTTCCATCATTGGCTTTACTTGTGCAAAACCAGATGGGAAGGTCACAAATAGTGATCCCACGATCCCAAAATGCTGGACAGCGATAAATACATGCCAATTGTCAAATTATTATCACATGGCTACAGGGATGATGCAACGAAAAGTGTGAGGACTAGTCATAAGTAACCCTTTTTCAGTGCCACTGTAACATTGAACAATCCCTAAACAAATGGTTGTAAATCAAGGATCCCCCTGAATTGCAGAATTGCAGAAGGCATCCAGGTACTTAAGGAAGAAAGAAAAAAAGGCAAATACATCTGAAAGGAGGTCTACTCGTTTCAGATCTTTTCCAGCATATTGCAGTTATGTTATTCTCACTGTGCTTCTTTAGCACCTTTAAAGTCTACATACAATTCAGTATCACACGTTTCTCATTTGGGGATCAGGAGGAATCATGCTCTTCCACAGGTGTAAGTATTCCAATTGTGGCATTAAGTTCCCAGGAAGTAGATGCATGAATAAAGGGAAGACTTTGGATCATCAAAAGCAGGAAAAATATATATGAATACTTGAGAACCCCCCAGAGCAAAAGGTCATCACAGGAAAGATAAAATACAAATATGATTGCTCTTTCTTGTTGCTGCTGTTTTCAATTGTTCAATTTGGGTAGCAGATGCTGAAACGTACAGCTTTGATGGACAATTCTGATCCTTCAGCATGGCATCTTCCTCCCAAGGAAAATGGATGCCGCAGTCCATCATGCCCCTGACATAAACGATCATAGTTCAATATTCTCTTCTGAGTAGCACTTATCTTCTGCATTACAGAAGGAGTGTCTGATTATTTTCTTGTCAAACAGGCATGTTTTGCACAGAGACAGTCTGTGACCTGACTCTAATCACACGTAGCCCCGTTGACCTGAAGTGGGGATGGGTATTCCCATTTATCATAAAAGATGGATCAAACACAATCCAGATTGTTCATTGTTTGCACATGTACATGAATATCAATGCTGAGCTAGTGTCACTGAGCTGTGGCAATAACCTGTTTTGTTTTATTTTGGAGAAGGAGAGCACAGATCTAGAGACGTTAGTTACCTTCAGGGAGACTGTTATTCCAGCTATGTCTTTTGATGCAAATCAAGTGTGGTTTGTGAAATGACTATTAAATTGTGATGATGAGTTGTATAATACAAAAATCTACATTTGTTAATATTAGTAATTATCACTTGATTTCAAATCACGCTTTCTCCCCCTGTTTTTGACTTAATAGCATTCCAAGAAACAACTTCTTTTAATTATTTCCTCTTTTTTTCCTTATGAGAAGGGTACTAAGGGCAATATTTTTCCTATTTGTTTCCCCATCTTATTTAATTATTTTGTTATGGCATGCCCTGTTATGATTGCTTTAATTTGTTCTCGTTTCAAGAGCCAGCAAAAACTCCTACATCCCCCCAGCCAGTTTCTGTAAAAGTGGCAACACCAGGTAAATAATTCAATTATTTTCTCTTGCTTTGTTTTCAGGATTATTTAATCACCCTTTTGGCAGCATGCATTTCTTTTTATTATTATTCTTCTTTTATTTAATTGCCCCAGAGCGCCATCTGTTGGTTCAAATGAGTAGGAACTCTTTTTGTTCTCTGAAAATAAAAATAATGTAGTGGGTTCCCTGGCAATTTGACAAAACCATACATAATCATTTACAAACCACAATAATTGGATTCACTCATTCTGTTAACTCAAAACTAAGCACACTACCCTGCTCTGTGGCTTAGCCATGAGGAGCGAACCTTGCAAATCTCAGAAGGAAAGCTTTTCTTCACAGAACATGTCCAGCATCTAATTGCTGAGGGTGGAATTTCTTGAAACAAGGGCCATTGGAAGGCAAGCTCAGTGGATGTTCACTGCATTTCTGTAAAATATTTGGCCACGTTTGCAAATATAGACATAGATGAAAGCCTTCCTGCAAAGGAATACATTGGGGGTTTTTTTGGGGGGGGGAGCAAAAGATATATTTTTACTGGCTTACCTCAGATTTGCTCCTTTTTTCAGAAGATCATCCCATATTTAATGTTATATAGTCATTCTTTACCTGTTTTTGTGGAAAACTCAACAACATGGATTACCTGGTTACAAATTTTCTACTATAAGATATTTGGTATTTCTACTCTGAACACTTCACTATGATAAACATTATTTCTAAAGTTGAATCTATAGGCATGAATAAGCTTCTGCAAATCAGTGTCCTTCTTTAGCCACTTTTTTTAGAAAAGAGGAGGCACGTGAGAAAGTAAAAAAAGAGAGAATAATTTTCTTGAATAGTTTTTGGTTTGATTCTGTGCCCCACAAGTCTGGGCACCAAATAGATGACCCCAATTAAAGAAAAATCTTATCCTTTAAAAAAAATCTGTATAGAGTAAGTGAAAGGAAGAAACAGATGCTGAAGGTATAATATAATTATTCTAAGGCAACAGATTATTCAAAAAATCCCACAAGAAAATGATTTTGTAAATTGTTCCTCCAATTACAGTGACTCAGGTCATTGCAGATGACTTCAAATATACTCTTCACAATGTCTAAATCCTCATTTAACCATTTTGAATAGTATTATTCCTTTATAAAGAATATCAACATTAAAAGGCATTCATTGCTCTGCAGAATGATGACATCCACTAACAAAAATGACATTATAAAGTAATTGCTCATTCTTAAAAACAAACCCACTTTTTTTGCAGATATTTTTAACATCCCAGTCTGCCCAGCTCCCTGAAATATTCAAGTAATAACCAAGCCCAGTTTTGCTTGTTTCTCTGAAAAGTAAGCTACATGCTGCCATCTGCTGAAACAAACTTGTAATATTCATCAGAAAATATTTTTTTTACAAATTGTTTGTGTCAATATTGCAACAATCGCTGAAAATGCTTATGGGGCTGAATTATTCTAAAAATAATGTATTGTCTGAAAAAATATTTAAATAAAACACAGAGCTTTTGTTGAAACTATATAATAATATATATGAATGACTGAACAGCTTCAAATGTGAAAGGATTAATGTTTAGGTGAATTCCAGCATGAATTCAAAAGTCAGAGTGATCATAAAAAATCTGGCAGTAGGAGGAAACTTGGATTTAAGTTTGACTGAAATAAATTTCAATAAATTTCCCATGGAGAAATAAAAATTTTGCACAATAAAATGTTTGCAGTTCAGTTGCGGAAATGTTTATTCAGAAGCAGTTCCTACAGAATTAGTTAGGCTAACTTTCACATATTTGTATATTTTATCATTAAAATCCCATGCATGTATTTTCTTTGAAATTGGATAAACATACCCCCTTCAAAATTGAGTTTCTCAGGAGGACTTACAAAATATTAAAATCATAGTGTATATTTAAACTAAAATAACTATAATGCACAATATAAACAATAAAAGTTCAGTTACACATTGATTAAAATGTTTCTGTATAGTGTATTGCATGTTTATTTGCTTATTAACAGGGTAAAAAGATATGGGGAAAATATATGTAGTATACTTTTGCAGTATAGTATATACTATAATTTTTATTGAAGAAATGCTTAACGAAGTAAAAGCCATAAAAGAAAATAAAGATAATAAATAAAAAATAGTGAAAAAAATAGAAAAGGAAAAAGGTAAGCAAAGGAAAATAAAGATTATAAAGAAGTAACTTTCAATCTTCTTTACAGTAGCTATAAATAGACTTTAATTCTTTCCATTTGCTAGATTCCACACACATGCATCAAAAGAAATTTTCAGAATATGTTGACACTATAAATGGTTTGGATGAGCCTGGAGCCTCTGGACATTACTATTTATATGACCACAACTAAAGTCCATTAAATGTCTTTTTATAGCAAAAGGAAAGGGGAAAGGGTTATGCTGGCGCACCATTTCATATTTGGATCACTAACATACTTGAACATTTGGGTGCAACTGCTCAGATATAATCTCAAACTTGCTTTCTCAATTCTTTCCTCAAAATACTCTTCTTCTACTATAGTTTTACTCATGAGAATTAGCCATTTGTGTAAAAACATCAATTGAAATAATCATCTCTTGTGATTACAAGTTTCAAACTTTACAACTGCAATACTAAGTATATAGTAAAATTGATTCATTGATATTGAGACTTCTGAATGAATCAGGCAGGGGGAGCAAGCTAGCTACAGGAAGAAATCTGCAGGCTGATGAGAAAACTCCTTACTATAGAAGTAACACTGATGTGATTTTGACTTTAAACTATGTGTGATTTCATAGTCTTGACAACAATTTTTCTTTAAAGGAAACAAAATATGTTTATTCTGTCAGTTTCTAGCAAAGCTACTCTAGGGACAATGCTGTGCTTTAGAAAATATTTTCACAAGCTGACTTGCTGTCAATTGATAGCAAGCCTAGGTCTTTTACAAAGAAGGCGTGATGCCTTCCTGATTGTCTCACCACCTGTTTGAGATTTGGGGAGTTGATCTTCTAGATATTCCACAAGTAGCAGATGGGCTTGTCCCACCCTCTTCTGCCAGCTTCCCTTTCCTTCCTGAGCCATCAATATGAGTGATCTCTATTCTCTTTCTGTTATGACACCCCACTGCCTTTTCAAGTAGCGTCACAGGATGTTGGATACCCAATTTGTGATTTGGAAATTATGTAGACTCCACAGCCCATGCTTCAGGAAATGAGGCAATACATAATGCTATTTAGTCACAAGATGTTTGTTAAAAGAGAGATATAACCATTTGCCTCATTCCCCCTTAGTACTACTGGAAAAGAGATGGGAGCTTTCTCCCCCATGAATAATGGTGTGAAGAGAAAGTAGTAGATGTCAGGAAATAATGTCAGATAACCTCCATTATATCCAATTATGCTTAGACAGTCACTGCTGAGTAAATCATGGAGAAAATGTTAATTAATACAGCAACAATTAAATATAATAAAATGTTTAGTCAATTCTATCACATACATATTATTAATATATTATTTATAATGTTAATCAAAAAATGTAATCATATGATTGCTAATATAACATTGAATTGAGTTCTGAGCTGTGTTGCAATAGTAGCAAGGCTTCAATGTGCATTGAGACATTATTTTTAGGGGCAAATATTTTTCTCTAGTCTGAATTTCATAGCCTAGGGCCATTTCTTGACAGGGCAGAAGCAACACTAAATTGGATTCAGCAACCCACTGATGCAATTGCTAGGGGCTTAATGCCGGGATGCCAGATCCTGTTTCCCCAGCTACTTACCAATCATTGTTTCTGATCCCATTTCTAAAACCAAGTTGTTATGAAAACATAATTCTGTGCCTAATGAATAAAGGAAACTAACAGGTAATAGAAAAGTTTATCCAGCAATGATTATTGGATCTATATCAGCAGTGGTGGGTTGCAGGCGGTACGCCCTGATATGGGCATATCGGAGCCTGCCCAGAGCACCGGGTACTGTTCAGGTATGGTGCTCACCTGCTCACCCAAGCTCCTTACCTGTCCTTTAAAGCCTTCAGCGCTTCCACGCACATGCATGGCGCATACAGCACTTGAGCGAAGCTTCGACGTGCAGCTGGAGCATCACGGAGGCTTGTGGAAGTGTCACTGGCAGCTACAATGCATACACGTGTGTCCATGTGGGCAATGCGCAGGCCCGTTCCAACGGTACCAGTTGGAATGGGATCTGAACCCACCACTGTATATCAGATATCAATATTGGGGTCATTACAGAAGTTAGAAACATAGGTCCATGTTGCCATTTCTCATTGATTCAATGCATGATTTTGCCATATATGGTTAAATTGTAGAATGTTTATAATGGTATTTTGCTCCTTACATGATCTTTTGAAACACTGATCACTCATTTCTCCCATTTTAGAATATTCTGACATGCATATTAATTTAATATTAATTGGCTGTTGTGAGCTGCCCAGAGTTACTTAAAATGAGTGCCTATATACATCTTTTAAATAAGCAAATAAACACTTATTTATTAGTTTGGTTTTCTTGCACATGACTTGTCTGTTTAGAGACAAGAGAAGGACCTTTATATCTCTCTATAGATGATTTGCCTCTATGGCAATAGGTTTTTATTTTATTTTATTTTTATTTTTTCCTGGGAGGAGAGAAGAGGTTCTTGTAAGTAAGTGAGTGGGTTGGACAAGACATTTCTTGTTTGCTGGCATACAAACAATAGTTAGCTGTCATTGCTGCAAAGCTAAGTTGTGATTCATCCTTGGTTCTCTATGAGCACTGTAAACTTACAAAAAAGCAAAATATGTCCTTACTTCTTCTCTCTTGGAATAAAACAAACTAATTGCCCTTTCAAAGTCTTAATTGGGGAATGAGTAAGCTCACTGTCTACAAGCTCACAGTCTATCATTTCATTTTCTGTTCAATGTAGAAACACTACACTGCTTACTAAATACTCTGTAGGGCAGAAACAATGTTCTTGTTTTCCTCTTGCTTTCCAGAACCATACAATAAGAAAAGTTGATAGAAGTAGGAAACTACACCCATTTTTTCACCTCTGCCTTTCATATTGAATATGTTTCATATTGAAACATATTGATATAGAATGCCATTGAAAATTTAACATTATTCTTTTACCCTTTTATTTTAGCAGACAAGCCAAAGAAGGCTGCACATGTGAAAGAATCTGGTAAGACCTAGATATTTCTCCCCCAAATTACACTTTCTATTTTGAACACTTTGTATTAATTCATACAAGGTTGTTGATGTCAGCATGCCATAAAAGACATTGAGTAATGAAATAAAATGACATGGAAAAATAGACTAAATCTTCTTCCTATGAGTTACTTAGGACTAATTCCTAAGGCCCCCGATCCGCTGCCTCAAAATCATCCATATTCTGGTCTTCACTGAATAATTCTTGCTATGTCTTCAATCCATTCACTGAGTCTGAATGAACCATGTCTGCTTATGTAATTGCATTTTTCTTATTGTAATTATTTCCCATATGAAAGGCATTTAAAGGACACACTGACAAGTCTATCTAATGGGCTTATTTTTTCCATATAGAATTCCATGCTTCTACCAAACTTTGTTTGATAATTTGTCCATTTAAATGTTTATCTTCCTTTGTGTCTCATAAATAGTAGTATTAACATTCTACTAATGAAGAATTTTATTCATTTTGTTACCCATGACAAGCATGGGTTTCTCATTTAATATAAATTTTGAAGAACAAAACCACAATTTACTTTGCTTCATGGCAATGAGGATAAATTTTCCACAGAATTGGAAGAAATAAACAATTTTGTTGATATCTGATTGGCTACTTAAATTTGGAGAATATGCAGCAATAACAAAAATAAACAGCAATATACAGTACAAGTGGAAGAAAATAAGAGCCACTTAATCCCTTCTTTGCTTTAATTATAAAATCACAAGAATAATTAACTGTGATCTTGGTTTCTCATTTCACTAATGATATGTAATATATGGAATAAGCATACCCTTATAGGCTCTGATGGAGAAATCATGCCCTGTTCTTCTTCTTACATCCTAGAAACACACAAAAAAGAAAAGCCAATAGAAATAGGTTAGTATGTTAATATTTTCTTTCTTTTACAATCCCAAAACATGATATTGGACATGGATATAGATTATACATGTTCAAATTGTAGAATAACTAAAATCCTTATATCTTCTTCTTTTAGCCAAAGTGCCAAAGAAACATGTGCATGTAAAGAAAACTGGTAAGACTGGGGTAAAAAAACATATTTCAGAAATGGTACTGTTCCCTTTGCATACTTAGTGTAAATTAACAGAAGATTTTTGAAATGGATGTTATGCATTATAAGTGATTACCTAGTGAAATAAAGCCAAACATTTGCATAATAAATTACTAGGCTTCATTCACACAGCCCTATAGTTTTGGCTCCAACATGCTTGCCTTTTCTTGAGGAGATGTCCTCATATTGGATATTGGTATTGAATCCAGATTACTAGAAGAAGGGATAGAAACTGCACAGGCTTAATCTCAAATCAGAAGACATATAAACCTTAAGAAGAAAACCACAGAAACAAAAAAGAATAGATAATAAGAGTGCATTCTGCCAAATGAATCCAGAATCTATTCAATCCCAGATTAGTTTTATTTATGGAATTAAAGTGACCTCAATCTGTCATTTGCTTCTTTGTTAAGTATTAAATTATAGACTGTTTATTTTGAACATTTAAATGCATTTAAAATCATTTTCTGGTCATATAAACCTTGTTATTTTTTTAAAATCAACAAAATGAATATGTGAGTTATGTAGACAGAGGAGTCTCCTGAATTATACCTTAATTTTAATTGAGGAATTAAATCATTCTGTCTCTAAGTGCCTTCAATGTATTATTTCCTTCTTTGTTAAATATGGAATCATTAACTGTTTATTTTGAATACCCAAATGCAGAAATCAAGTTCAAACCTTCTTCTTATTTTCTAGAACCAGACAAGAAAGAAAAGTCAATAGAAATAGGTAAGCATGCTCTTATTTTCCTTCATTTACTTACCTAAAAGTTGTTTTAAGTCTAAATATTCAACATGTGTGATAATCAATATAGTTAAATCTTTTCATTTCAGCCAAGCTGCCAAAGAAGGCTGTGTATGCAAACAAAACTGGTAAGGCTAAGGGGAAAAAAATCTGGGACATTCAACTTTCTACCTTGAAAATTAATCAAAGACTACAGAAGTGACCATTCTATATGAAAACTATTGAACTAGAATATCACACATTGATAGGATATGATTCAATCTTTTGTCAACCATGCTAAATTGACTTAATGGGGAAATCCAATATTAAAAATCTGGGGGGAAATGTTGATATGGAAAAATTGGATGAAAATGGAAATATTGACTTTGGATCGATTGGTAGATGATGCTGGCAAATTTTTAACATATGATATGCTAAGGGACAAATATCATTTATTAGATGTAACTCAATGGCAATATTTACAGCTACAATAATTGTTAATAGCATTGTTTGAATCAGCAGCGTTTTCACTTTCTGAGACACCTTGAGATATGAGAACAACTAGTTAAACCTTTTAAAACAAAGAAATCAACTATTCATTTCATATTAAATCAATTCAATATGAAAAATGTAAACGATTAGTGGAATAAAGAATTAGAGGTTCCTGTATTGCCTAGACAATGAGACTTAAGATCTATACCAAGAATATCAATAGATCTCAATTTACTTATAAAACCAAAAATAATATTTAGAATTTATTGGGCTCCATTATATTTGTATAAAAAAGAATTGTGTAGGACAGCATTTTGTTGGGATGCAGTAATGGCAATGCTTCTTTAAAAGCATTAAATTTTCAGACAAAATAATGGACTACATAAATGTTGACGGTGCAACAAAAGCTGAGACTTTCTGAGGATAATATCTTAAATTACATACCTAGTACATGGAATTTGACAACTGAACGACATGGATTTTCTGTGCCTTTATTGTAGCTAAAAGACTGATAATGCAACATTGAAAAGAGAAATGTGTGGCTTTGCTGGATTGAAAGTCTGATTACAGTTTCTACCTATGAGTGGATTGCCTATAGAATGTATACTTTGTGTGGATAAATATATGAAAATATGAGACTCAGTTTTACAAAGTATTGTAGGTTAAAAAAAGGATGAAAGTCATATAAATGTATTAGAAATATATATACCTTAATAATGTTTGTACTAGATTATATATAGAACTATATCTGTTTATTGTTCTAACAACTTATTATACTCTGTATCCTATTTTTTCTGTTGTACTTTTTCACTTATTTTTAAGCACTTCTTATGCATTGTTTTGATAATGTATGTATCCTTTTGTTCCTTTTGCTTTTTTCTGTTGTTGTTTTAAAAGCAATAAAATTATTTTAAAAATGTAAATAGAAGACTGCATTCTGTCCAATAGGATTAATTGGGGAATTAAAAAATTCTATATTTAAGTGTCCTCACTCTATCACTTTTTCTGTTAAGCATGGAGTCACCAATTGTTTATTTTGAACACCTAAATGCAGAAATCATGTTCAAATCTTCCTCTTACTTTCTAGAAGCAGACAAGAAAGAAAAGCCAATAGATCTAGGTAGGTATGGTCTAATTTCCCCACTTTTGCTATATGAAAGATGTGGTACGTATATTAATGATCCACGTTCAACATTTATACTAATCAATATTCTTAAATCTTTTCCTTTCAGCCAAGCTGCTAAAGAAGGCTGTGCTTGCAAAAAAACCTGGTAAGATCTAAGTAAAAATAATTCCAGAAAATTCCATTTTTCACTTTGAAAATTAATAAAAGGCTACAGAAATGAGAGTTCCAAGAGAAGTGACTAATTGCTAAAAAAAAAAAAAACACCAAATGTTTTGATTCCCTCCATTGCCCTCTCCCATGGGAAGAGATGGCCTATTCTATTGGTCATCCCCAGATGACTGATGAACTGTATGGAGTTCTGAGGGAGCTTATGGTTTACTCTGTGGATCTGGTGGATGGTTTAGGTGAGGTCTCAGTTGTTGCCAGGCAGGGGCACAATATCCCCTATGTTGCCAGGCAGGGGCACAATATCCCCTATGTGGCCTGTTTCTGTGCCAGGCACACTTTATTGAGGAAACCCCAGGAGATGGTGCACCAAAGAAATGCCAGTCTGATTGAATATGGGGAATTGCTGATATTGCCTTGTATTTCTCCCCTCATCTTTCTAGTTTTTTAGAGGGAGGGTCCCACTCAAATGTTGATATCATGGTTTTCTTCTTATTTTCTAGAACCCCACAAGAAAGAGAAGCCAAGAGAAATGGGTAAGAGCTCTCTCATTTTGTCTTCTGCTCTTCTCTGGAACATATGGGCATTAAAGGGATATTGATAATTTTGATTCAATCTATGTCATAGCCCAAATGTTTGTTTGTGTTTTCTTTTAGTCAAAGTGACAAAAAAAGATGTGCATGAAAATAAAACTGGTAAGTGACATGTAAAAATAAATGCAGAGAATTGCACCTTTCCATTTGAAAAATAGTTATAGGTTAACACAACTCTATGAAGATGAGAGAAATAATGTTTTGGCCTTTCTCTTATTGTCTAGAACCTCACAAGAAAGAAAAGCCATTAGAAACAGGTAAACATGAATTACTTCTGCACATTTGCTTATGCAAAATATATTAATATATTACAACTGTGCAACTTTTATGAAAGCTCAGTACTTTTAACTTTTCATTGTAGCCAAACTACTGATGAAGGATATCCATGTAAAAGAATCTGGTAAGATCTGGATCAAAATGGATCCAGCAATTTACACTTCCCATCAGTTAACACAAAATTATGATGATGAGTTGACTTGAAAAAGAGACTGTGAAAAAAAATTAAAATAATAATAATAATACAGTGCCTTCTGCCCACTCTTGGTTTTCTAGGACTCATCCCTTTTCCTGCTTTCTAGATCATTTGCTTATCACTTGTTGATGATACTGGTATATCCTTGTATGAGATCCTCTTTCTCAGGGCTCACTTGCTGGAGAGGCTGGTTGAAGCTACTCCAGCTTATCCAACTAGAAAATTGTATTTTCTTTGAAAGTACATAGACAGACCTCCCCCATGTCTGTTCTGTGTTGCCTGGAGAATGAATCTTTAGTGTTGCCAAAATTCTGGGCTTTAACACCTATGGGAGGATCATATCAATTGGTTATAAATGCTGTCCATAGTTAATTTAAATTTGACAATCAGAGATATTGGAACTTTCACACTTAAAGTTTATCATTTCTTTTCAGGCAGAGTAAATCTACCCAATACCGAAACCAAAACTGACTGTTAGATTGGAAGAATTGAATACAACTGAAAGGGATCTTGGAGGTCTTCTTGTCCAGTCCCCTGGTCAAGAAGAGACTCTATAATGTTCTCTAAATTGTAGTGCTCCCATCAGTAATCACTAGCCCTTAAATAGAATGTTGTGAGACTGAAAATATTTCTCCTCTTTCTAGTCTTTTAGAAGGAGGGTCCCTTTAGTATGAAGGCCCAAATGTTGAAAACATGTTCTGGTTTTCCTCTTACTTTCTAGAGCCCCAGAAGAAAGAGAAGCCAAGAGAAATGGGTAAGAGCTCTCTTATTTTGTCTTCTGCACTTCTCTGGAACTTATGGGCTTTAAAGGGATGTTGATCATTTGGATTCAATCTATGTCATAGCCCAAATCTTTGAATCCTTTTCTTTTAGCCAAAGTGCCAAAGAAAGATGTGCATGTAAACAAAACGGGTAAGTGCCACGTAAAAATAAATGTAGAAAATAAGCATCTTTGCATTTGAAAAATAGTTATAGGTTAACACAATTCTATGAAGATGAGAGAAATAATGTTCTAGTCTTTCTCTTATTTTCTAGAATCCCACAAGATGGAAAAAACATTAGAAACAGGTAAACATGAATTACTGGCCCATCTTTGTTTGTGTGAAACTTATATAATATAGTACAACTGTGCAACATTTATTAAAACTCATATTTTTAACTTTTCATTTTAGCCAGGCTACCGATGAAGGATATCCATATAAAAGAATCTGGTAAGATCTGGATCAAAATGGATCCAACAATTTACATTTCCCATCAGTTAACACAAAATTGTGGTGATGAATTGACTTGAAAAAGAGACTGTGAAAAAAATTTAAAATAATGATGAATAATAGAGTGCCTTCTGCCCACTCTTGGTTTCTTAGGGCTCTTCCCTTGCCCCGATTCCTAGATGATTTGCTGATCACTTGTTGAAGATATATCCTTGTATGGGATCCTCTTTCTCAGGGATGGCTTGCTGCCAGAGGGAAGGGCTCTTTGGTATGAAGATCCCAATGTTGATATCATGTTCTGGTTTTCCTCTTACTTTCTAGACCCCCACAAAAAAGAAAAGCCAAGAGAAATGGGTAAGAGCTCTCTTATAAGATACTCTGTGCTTCCCTGGAACATGTGGGCATTAAAGAGATATTGATCAGTGGATTCAATCTATGTCATATTCAAAATGTTTGAATCTTTTTCTTTTAGCCAAACTGCCAAAGAAAGATGTGCATGTAAAAAAATCTGGTAAGTGCCGTGTAAAAATAAATCGAGAAAATGGCACCTTTGTGTTTGAAAAATTGTTATAGGTTAATACAACTTTATGAAGATGAGGGAAATAATGTTTTGATGTTTCTCTTATTGTCTAGAACCCCACAGGAAAGAAAAGCCATTAGAAACAGGTAAACATGAATTACTGCCCCACCTTTGCTTAAGTGAATGATATTAATATATCACATCTGTGCAACATTTATTAAAACTCAGTACTTTTAACTTTTCATTTTAGCCAAGCTACCAATGAAAGATATCCATGTAAAAGAATCTGGTAAGATTTGGATCAAAAGACATCTACTTCCCATCAGTTAACACAAAATTATTATGAAGAGTTGCGTTGAAAAAGAGACTGAGGAAAAAAACCCAAATAATGATAAATAATAGAGTGCCTTCTGCCCACTCTTGTTTTCCTAGGACTCATCTCTTGCCCTGCTTCCTAGATCATTTCCTTATCAGTTGTTGAAGATATATTCTCATGTATATCTTCTCAGGGCTGACTTGCTCTAGAGATCAGTTGAAGGTACTCCAGCTTATCCAACTAGAAAATCTATTATCTATGAGAGAGCAGAAAAAGACTTCCTCCATGTGTATGTTTTGCTTTTAGTGTTGCCAGCATTCTAAACCTAAACTTATAGCTCTAAACCTATAGAAGGACAATATCAATTGGTTATAGATTCCCTCCATAGTTAATTTAATTTTGACAAATCACAGATATTGGAACTTTCACATTTAAAGTTTATCCTTTGTTTTTTGGGAGAGTTGGTCTACCCAATACTTTAAACCAAAACTGAGTATTCTCTAAGTACAGTACTCCCATCAGTAATCATTAGTCCTTAAATAGAATCTTGCAAAACTGAAGGTATTTCTATCCTCCTTTTTTAATCCTTTAGAGGGAGTGTTCCTTCTGAAATGCTACCAAGACTTCTCCCACACTGCAGACTAAGCTGTCTTTTATGAGACCACTGACAAGGTTGCTTCTGTCTCCCAAGGTCACTTCCACGTATACCATTACAGTACAGTAATCGCCTCACAGCTTTACCAGACATTGTTTATTCCAGGACCATTTCTTGCATAGCTGCCTCTACCCTCTACCCTCTGTTCTTATTCATGTAGTAGTCTTCCTTGGCCTTCCTCTGCCTGCCTGATTCCATTCCCCATTAGAAGCTTACAACCAAAGATGACTCCTTTCCCCCATCATGTTCCTCTTCCCTCTGTTGCCCCTTCCTTTAACTTTGAACTTGGCAGAGAAATTGCTGCAACCCTTGACCTTACCCTGCAGGCGGTTCCTTATCCTGCCTGCAGAATGAGGAACAAACCAACCAACCACTGTCTTTGTGCCAGGGGAAGAACTTTTCCTTTTAGTAGGAACACCAAAATATAACATCATGTTCTGGTTTTCCTCTTACTTTCTAGAGCCCCACAAGAAAGAAAAGCCAAGAGAAATGGGTAAGAGCTCTCTTATTTTGTCTTCTATGCTCAGTGGTGGGATGCTGCTGGTTTGGTGAGCGTGCGCTTTGCGCGCATGTGTGCTTTGTGCATGTGCGCAGTGCTGAAAATGGAACATTTAGAAGCTCAGCTGCTTACCTTCCAAGTCAGCAATGGTAAGTAAAACAGCTTTGAGGGAGGGGGAATCAGCTGTGCCACATGATTGATATGAGCTAGAAAGCAGGAAAGCAGGACAGGATAGAACAGGGGCGGGTGGGCAGACCCAGGTCATAGTCGGAGCTACCAGTTCACCCAAACCGATCCGAACCAGTAGAATCCCACCCCTGTCTATACTTCCCTGGAACATATGGGCATTAAAGGGGATGTTGATCATTTGTGTTCACTCTATGTCATATTCAAAATGTTTGAATCTTTTTCTTTTAGCCAAACTGCCAAAGAAAGATGTGCTTATAAACAAAACTGGTAAGTGCCATATAAAATAAATCTAGAAAATTGCATCTTTCTGTTTGAAGAATTGTTATAATAGCAATAGCACTTAGCCTTAATAGTGAAACAATCACCCTTAATAAGGTCACAGTGCTTTACAGCCCTCTCTAAGCGATTTACAGAGTCAGCATATTGCTCCCAACAATCTGACTCCTCATTTTACCGACCTTGGAAGGATGGAAGGCTGAGTCAACCTTGAACAGATGAGAATCAAACTGCCGAACTGCTGGCAGCCAGCAGAATTAACCTGCAGTACTGCATTCTAACCACTGCGCCACCATGGCTCCAATATAATCATTTATCACAACTCTATGAAGACAAAAGAAATAATATTCTGCTCTTTCTTTTATTGTCTAGAACCCCACAAGAAAGAAAAGCCATTAGAAACAGGTAAACTTGAATTACTGCCCTACCTTTGCTTAGATCAGTGGTTCCCAAACTTGGCAACTTTAAGACTTGTGGACTTCAAATCCCAGAATTCTCCAGCCAGCAGAGCTCTGCTGGCTGGAGAATTCTGGGAGTTGAAGTCCACAAGTCTTAAAGTTGCCAAGTTTGGGAACCACTGGCTTAGATGAAACATATTAATATATTACAGCTGTGCCACATTTATTAAAACTCAGTACTTTTAACTTTTCATTTTAGCCAAGCTTCTAATGAAGGTTATTCATATAAAAGAATCTGGTAAGATCTGGATCATAACAGTTCTAGCAATTTGTAATTCCCATCAGTTAACACAAAATTATTATGAAGAATTACTTTGAAAAAGAGCCTGACAAAAAACATTAAATGATGAATAATAGAGAGCCTTCTGCCCACTCTTGGTTTCCTAAGGCTCATCTCTTGCCCTTCCTCTTAGATCATTGGCTTTTTGCTTGTTAAAGATATATCCTCATTGGATTTCCTCTTTCTCATGGCTGGCTTGTTGGAGAGGCCAGTTGAAGCTACTCCATCTTATCTAACTAGAAAATATCAACTGCTTATAAATGACTTTCATAGAGACAATCATAGATATTGGAACTTTCACACTTAACGTTTACCCTTTCTTTTTAGGGAAAGTTGGTTTACCAAAATCAAAAGGGAGTGTTCTCTAAGTAGAGTAACTCATCAAGAATCATTAGCCCTTAAAAATAATCTTGCAAGACTGAAAGTCCTTATCACTAGTCTTTTAGAGGGAGGGTCCCTTCTGAAATGCTTTCTAAGCTTTTTCCCTCACTGGCAGACTAAACTGCCTTTTATCAGACTACTGACTAGGTTGGAGGTCTTGCTTCTGTATCTCAAGGTCATTTTCACATACCATCACAGTAATCTCCTCACAGTTTTACTAGACATTGCTTATTCCAGGAATATTTCATACATAGCTGTCTATATATCCCTTGCCCTTGTCCATATAGTAATCCACCTCTGCCTGCCTGATTCCATTCCCCACTAGAAGCCCTCAATCAAGGGTGACTCCTTTCCCCCATCATATTCCTCTTCCCTCTGCTGCACCTTCCTTTAACTTTGAACTTGGCAGACAACCCCTGACCACAGCAGCAGGAGAAGGAACAAACCACTGTCTTTGTGCCAGAAGAAGAATCTTTCCATTTAATATAAACACCCAAATGTTGAAATCATGTTCTGGTTTTCCTCTTACTTTCTAGAACCCCACAAGAAAGAGAAGCCAAGAGAAATGGGTAAGAGCTCCCTTATTTTGTCTTCTGCACTCCTCTGGAATATATGGGCGTTAAAGGGATATTGATCATTTGGATTCAATCTATGTCATAGCCCAAAGGTTTGAATCTTTTTCTTTCAGCCAAAGTGCCAAAGAAAGAAGTAAACAAAGCCGGTAAGTGCCATATAAAAATAAATCTAAAAAATTGCACTTTTCTGTTTGAAGAATTGGTATAAATTAACACAACTCTATGATTATGAGTGTTCTGTGAAACCAATGAATTAAAATGACCAACCTGGAATCAGATGTTACCATTTTGGGGTTTTCTATTCAGAAGAACCTGCTCAATTTGGCTTCATTTTGAACATCAAATTAAAAGTTTCACTGACTTCACTGGACATTCCAATGCAGAAATGTTTTGTCTTCCTCTTATTTCTAGAGCCACATAAGAAAGAAAAAACAGTAGAAATAGGTAAATATTCTCATTTTCCTTCCCCCACCCCAATTTGCCTCCCTGCAGCACTGACATGGTGTACTGTTCAAAGTTTATAGTAACCTAAAACAATAATTTTAACCAAGCTTTTAAGAGAAAGATGAGCTTATCAAAAAATCTATTAAGATCTGGATAAAAATAAATCTAGTAAAGTACATTTTCTGTAAGAGTGGTCTGTTTGTGTGAGCTGGAACTTGACTCGAGTTTCTATTAGTTGCACAGGTTTAATATCTATAAAAGAAAAGAGAGTTGCTGAAAGCCAATACATTATAGGAATAGGCAAAGCTAGCTACATCCTACCTGGGGAAAAGTAAAAGAAAATGCATTCCATGCATATATTTCTGGAGCAAATGTAGAAAGAAGGGAACTCAGATTAACAAGCCTATAAAACAAACAGCAGGCAGAATGAGATAGATAAAAGAGGGAAGCAAAACAAATCCTGAGTTATCTATGTGTATCCAGCTTCCCTCTTGTGGTCAGTGAGTGAAGAGATGCTGAATAATCATTGCCATGGATTCATATCTCCCTTTCCACTAAGCACTTTTTACTTTTAGCACTTAATATAAATTAACATGAGACAGTGGAAAATAGATGTGGTATAGGAAAAATGTAGAGAGTAAGAAAATGACCTTGATAGTGGTAGGCAAACTCCATTGACAAGATGACAAGGTATGAAACATTTTTTAAGTCCAGAATATCTAAATAACATTTGGTAGTGGCTCAGGCAGATGTCTCCCTAATTTATTAAGGAGGAAGAAGAAGAGGTAGAACGCAATCCAAATTGCAAGAATTTTGTTGTTATAACCAAACTCAATAAAAGTAGTTTTAGCCTCTCTGTGGAATTGATTTTCTTCTTTAGGTCTACCCGGAAGAGGTGAGAAAAAAGTGCCTAAAATAAAATGGTTAACGAGAATCAAGTTGGTGCAGGGCTTAAGAGGTTGAACTGGCAACAGGGAGACCCAGGTTCAAGTCTATATTCAGCCAAGGAGCCTGAGTAAATGACTTTGGGCCAGTCTGTCTGTCTCAGTCCAACCAACCTTAGAAAGTGGTTGTGGGAAGAAATGGGAAGAAAGAACACTATTTATTGTAATTTAATGCAGAAATCATGTTCTGCTCTTCTTAATTTCTAGAAACACATAAGAAGGAAAAGCCAATAGACATAGGTAAGAATATTCATCCTACCTAACCTTGCCTTCAGTGAAGCATATTGAAATGCTATAATGTTTAAGGTTATCATATCTTAATATTTACACTTTTTATTTCAGCAAAGCTGCCAAAAAAGGATGTGCATGTGAAAGAAACTGGTAAGCACAAGAGAAAAATCAATCTAGATAATTAGAGGGGAGGGAAGGAGGAAAGAAGGAAGGAAGAAAAGAGCTTTTAACATTTAGCATAATTAGTGAATTTCAGCTTATTTTCTGTTGTCTTGGCTTCCCTGAAATATATTGATAGAGCAGCTCTAAATGTACGTAAACCTAATGTCTTTGTTTTTCAGCGCCCCAGCCCAAAAAGGATATCCATATTCAAGAATCTGGTAAGACCTGGATTAAAAAAAATAAGTTTAAAGACTGTATAAATCAATAGAAGACTATGGATATGTATAAGATTTGACAAGTGAGTAATCAGTGAAATAAAATGGTAGATGGAAAGAATACAATGGTTATGGTATTGGGCTTACATCAGAGACCTACACATTTAGCCATAGAAACCATGGTGGAGTTTCAGACAGTTCCTCTGAGTCCAATGAAGTGTCGCTATGGCAGAAACGGGAGGAGTGGACACTGTGCATTGCATAGGAAGAAAAAGGAAAATATAAATCTAAGAAATAAAATAAATGTTGCCTTTGTAAGACTACCTTCCCCAGTTGGAATCTGACCATTCTCCCACTCATGGAGAAAATTGCTTTCAAAGTGCCTTGTTGCTCTCCTTCCTTTAAGCAGGGGCACCAGAGATGAAATTGGTTCCCTCCTTGCTGCAATTGGCTCCCTCCTTGCTGAAATTCTGGAAAGCTATGAAAAAGTGGCTATTCTGGAGAGCCTTTTGGGGTGGATGAGTAGTTTGTGGTTAGTCAAAAGAAAGGTCGTATTAACAGATTAACAGAGTTGGAAGAGACCTTGCAGATTATCTAGGTTAACTTGCAGTTTATCTAGTCCAACCCCCTGCCCAAGCAGGAGACCCTACATCTGCATCTACCTAGGATCGAACTCATAACCTCCTGTTGGTGAGGCGAGAGCTCCATCCAGCAATTGTGGATTATTTGTGGTTCTTTTGTATATTATATATATGGAATGTACTGCATTTCAATCCTATTAATGGAAAGAGGTAGGTTAGTCACTGTAAATTGGAGATGGAGGAGAGGAGGGAGGGAGGGAGGGAGTAGGGAGGGAGGGAGGAGGAAGGAAGGAAGGAAGGAAGGAAGGAGGGATTGTTGAATCCCAGTTTTATTTTAATTGGTGAATTGTGGAATTGCTGTATGTGCGTGCTCTTGCTCTTATCATTTCACTCTTTGTAATATATGGAATAAACATACTCTTTGCTATATAGACTCTGATGGAGAATCATGTTTTGTTCTTTCTACTTCTTAGAATTACATAAAAAAGAAAAGCCAAAAGAAATAGGTTAGTATGTTAATATTTTCTTTCTTTTAAAACCACAAAACACAATATTGGACATGGATATGGGTTATACATATTGAAAATGTGGAATAACTGAAATCTTTTTATCTTCTTTTAGCCAAAATGCCAAAGAAACATGTGCGTGTAAAGGAATCTGGTAAGACTGGGGTAAAAACATATTTCAGAAATCGTGTTGTTCCCTTTGAATGCTTAATATAAATTAACAGAGGAATGTGAAAATGGATGTTACACATCCTAAATGACTACCTAGTAAAATAAAGCACAAAATATGAATAATATACTATATTCTTCAAACTGTGGGTTACCTAGGCCTCATCCACACAGTCCTGTTGCTTCAGCTCCAAGACCATTTTGGAGCTTGCCATTTTTAAGAAGATGTCCTCAAAATGGTTCTTGGTATTGGCACCAGATTGTGGGTGATCTAGAAGAAATATTTCCTTGATTACTGGCAGATAAGCACTACCATGAAAACATGGATGTGTTGTATTTTAGTCCTATTACTGGAAGAAGGGATGGCAACTGCTCAGTCTTATTCTCAATTTAGAAGACATGTAAGCCTTAAGAAGAAAAACACAGAAACAAAAAGAATAGATAATAAAGTGCATTGTGCCAACTGAATCCAGAATCTATTTAATCCCAGATTAGTTTTGCTTGTGGAATTGAAGTGCTCTCGGTCTGTGACTTGATTCTTTGTTAAGTATTACATTATAGACTGCTTATTTTAAAATTTGGAATGCAAAAATCATGGTCTTCCTCTTACTTTCTAGAAGCAGACAAGAAAGAAAAACCAATAGAAATAGGTAAGCATGGTCTTATTTTCTCACCTATGCTTACCTGAAAGATGTGTTACAGGTATTGATTATCCAGATTCAACATTTATCATAATCTTTTCATTTTAGCCAAGGTGCCAAAGAAGGCTGTGCATGCAAACAAAACTGGTAAGACCTGACGGAAAAAATATAAAATATTCCATTTGATGCCCTCAAACATTAATAAAAACTACAGAAATTAATTCCATAAGTAAAGTGAAATAAAACATGAAGCACAGATAGGAGACTATGTTCTGTTCAATGAGATTATCTGGTCAGAAGTTCCTTTCTATCTCTTGTTTTAAATGTGGACTTAAAAGACCTGCTGCACACACCCTGCTTTTATTTTGCACATTGAAATGCAGAAGTCACATTCTGATTTTCCTCCTTTTTTTTAGAAACACATAAGAAAGAAAAGCCAACAGAAACTGGTAAGCATGTTGCCATTGTATCTCCTTTAGTTCCCTGAAGCAAATAGTTTAAACAAGTTGTGAATGTTTATAATAACTGAGCACTTGTATCCCTTTATTATAGCCAAGCTGCCAAAGAGTGATGTGCACTTAAAAGAAACTGGTAAGGGCTGAGTAAAACAATTCTAGCACATTATACTTACAACCTTCAATTCCTTCTATAAATTAACCCAAAACTATCAACATGAGTTTGCCTTGAAAATGTGCTTGACTGAAGAAATCAAATGTTAAGTCTGGGTAATAGAGTGCCTTCTGGCCATCCTTGGCTTTCTAGCACTCATCATTTAACCATCCAAGATTATTTGCTTACCATTGCTTGAAGAAATGTCCCCGTAGGAGATGCTCCAGCGTAGGGTTTGTTTGCTGCTGGAATTCATCAGGTAATCCACCCATACAGTGGTGTTTTCCATCAGAAAACAGAAGCAGACCTCCTGTATGACTGAGTTGGCCAAAGAAATAGTCTTTAGAGTTGATGAACTATTATCCCACAAGAGGACCAAACCATCCTGTTTGGCCATGAATCCTTGTAAATCCAATGTCATGTTAGCTGTGGCTACTAGAAAACTAGGATGTTTGGAGGTAGTCCTTGCTTCTGTATGGCTGGTAGGCCTTGGGTGGAATATTGAACTCATTAATAATCAACACTGGGTTTTCCCTAAATTTATTATTCTTATCTATAACCTATAGATTATAATCTATAATGTATAACCTAAAGTTTATTATTCATATCTATAACCAGCCTTAGCAAGACACTGCATGACACTTTCCTCCTGTTGATCTGAGCTTCTTTTCCATCACCTACCTTTTACCTCTTCTTTGCCTGTATCAGTGGTGGGTTTCAAAATTTTTTAGACCCTCTTCTATAGGTGTTGCCTGCTTTGTGGGAGTGGCTTGCCGGCCATGTGACTGGGTGGGAGTGGCTTGCCAACCATGTGACCAAGTGGGAATGGCTTGGCAGTCATATGACTGGGTGGGCGTGGCCAACTTGTAAAATGTGGTGAAACTCACTTAACAATGCTCTTGCTTAGCAACCAAAATGTTGGCTTAGGAACTCTGGCATCAAAGCATGCAAGTCTTAAAGCTGTCAAGTTACAAGACCCTTGCACGCCTAACCCTTTAGGAAAAAAAACCCCAGGGGTGTTCAAACTTAAAAGCTTTAAGACTTGCATGCTTTGATGCCAGAGTTCCTAAGCCAACATTTTGGTTGCTAAGCAAGAGCATTGTTAAGTGAGTTTCACCACATTTTACCAGTTGGCCACGCCCACCCAGTCACATGGCCGGCAAGCCACTCCCACAAAGCAGTCTATACCTACAGAAGAGGGTCTAAAAATTTTTGAAACCCACCACTGGCCTGGTGAGATCCAAACTGCCAAATTGCAGGCAGCCGGC